TGGTGGTGATGATGATGATGGTGATGATGGTGATGGTGATGATGATGATGATGATGATGATGATGATGATGGTGATGATGATGATGATGGTGATGATGGTGATGATGATGGTGATGATGGTGATGGTGATGATTGTGATGGTGATGATGATGATGGTGATGATGATGGTGATGATGGTGATGATGATGATGATGATGATGATGATGATGATGATGGTGATGATGGTGATGATGATGATGGTGATGATGATGATGATAATGATGATGATGGTGATGATGATGATGATGATGATTGTGATGATGATGATGATGATGATGATGGTGATGATGATGATGGTGATGATGGTGATGATGATGATGATGATGGTGATGATGATGATGATGATGATCTCCCTGGAAGCCATGTTAGGGATGACCTTTCCACCATGGCTGACGGAAGTCACTCCCGGGTGGATCGCATGCAGTCTGGACTCTGCCCGGCACCGAAGCCCGGCCGCTCTCTCTGCCTTTCAGAGCACCTGGCCATCACCCCGGCGGACCCCCAGTGGGTGGGTGCTTGGTGGCTGGGTTACCTCGTAGCCGGGGCCGTGAGTCTCCTCGCCGCCGTGCCTTTCTGGTGTTTCCCCAAGAGTCTACCTAGACCCACGGGCCGAGAGGACTCCAGCTCTTCCCCCGAGAAATCCCAGTTCATCCTGGACGAGCCCGGAAGCTACCAGACTCCCCACGGAGGAAAAGCAAAAATGGTGGAAATGGCGAAAGGTAGGTAGGGGAGGGCCGGGTTGCGTGGCTCCCGCCTGCCATCCCAGCTCCTCAGGAGGCTGAGGTCTGAGGATCACAGTTCGAGGCCAGTCTGGGCAGGAAAGTCCCTGAGACTCTGATCTCCAATGAACCACCAGAAAACCAGAAATGGAGCTGTGGTTCAAGTGGTAGAGCACCAGCCTGGAGCTGAAATGCTGAGGGACAGCGCTCAGGCCCTGAGTTCAAATCCCATGACCGCCCCAAAAGAAAAAACAAACCCCAAACCCTGCCTTGGTGGCTGGGTGTGATGATGATTCATTGTTCATCTGATGATGACTTTGCCTTGCAGACTTCGTTCCGTCGCTGAAGAGTCTCTTGGGGAACCCGGTGTATGTGCTGTACGTGTGTGCCAGCACCGTGCAGTTCAATTCTCTGTTCGGCATGGTGACATACAAACCCAAATACATCGAGCAGCAGTATGGACAGACCTCCTCCAGGGCCAACTTCGTGATCGGTGCGTCCTTCGGGCCTCCACTCCACGGTCCTCCACTCCACGGGCCTCCACTCCACGGCTTACAAGTCTCATCTTAGTGCTCTTCAGTGACGCTAGATGATGTGTCCGAGCATAGACAACATTAAAAATAAATAAATAAATGGCACTGGGCAGGTGGCTCAATGGTAGAGCGCTTGCCTAGCATGCACGAAGCCCTGGGTTCGATTCCTCAGTCCCACAGACACAGAAAAAGCCGGAAGTGGTGCTGTGGCTCAAGTGGTAGAGCGCCAGCCTTGAGCAAAAAGAAGCTCGAGGCCCTGAGTTCAAGTCCCACGACTGAAATTCAATAACTAAATACATGCACAGATCAAGTTCCTGCGGGTGCATTTCGCTTTCCTTGAGACATTCATGAGGGAATCAACTCTTCTCTCCCCTGGCTCCCCCCACAGGCCTGATCAACATTCCAGCGGTGGCCCTGGGGATATTTTCTGGTGGAATGTTCATGAAGAAATTCAGGATCGGCCTGTGTGGAGCCGCCAGGCTCTCGCTGGCATCTTCCATCCTTGGCTACCTCCTCTTCCTCTCCCTGTTTGCCCTGGGCTGTGAACCATCGGCGGTGGCCGGGCTGACAGTGTCCTATAGAGGGTAAGTTCTCTCCCCGTCGGTCATCTGAAGAAACGGGCTGGCTGAATTCCGTGCAGGGTTGAGCTTTTAAAAAGCATCTCCATTATAGAAAGGGCATAATGGTTTTAGGATGGACGTGATGCCAACCGACTGATCATTTACAGCATTTGACACTGGAGTCCGATGCCGGTGGCGCACGCCTGTAGTCCCGGATACTCGTGGGGAGGTTGAGATCTGAGGATCGAGGTTCAAAGTTAGCCCAGGCAGGAAAGTCTATCAGACTTCTTCTCTCTGATAAACTACTCAGAAAAAGCCAGAAGTGGCGCTGTGGCTCAAGGGGTAGAGCGCCAGCCTTGAACAAAAAGCAGCTCAGGGACAGCGCCCAGGTACTGAGTTCAAGGCCCAGGATCAGCCCCCAAAACACATCGCTTTGTGCGAGGTTTTAGATTCCCCTCCACAAGGACAGGGATGTCATCACTGGCTTTTGTGGGTTAAGCTTTGAGAGTAAGCCCCCCGACCCCGGGAATCTCTGACCTTTCACCCTCCCGACTTTGAAAGAAAAACCTGGGCCTGGCTCTGTCACTTTTGTTCAGCTCAAGGCCAGCGCTCTACCCTGCTGAGCCTCGGCACCGCGTCAGGTGCTTGAATGGATCACTGAAGAGAGTCTCCCGGCCTTTCCCGCCCGGGCTGGCTTTGAACCCTGATCCTCAGATCTCAGCCTCCTGAGTAGCTGGGATGACAGGCGGGAGCCACCAGCTTCTGGATCTTGTCCTGTCCTTTTAAGCATGTGTGTGTGTGTGTGTGTGTGCGTGTGTGTGTTGGTTCTGGGGCTTACACTCAGGGCCTTGGTGTTGTCCCTTACTTTTCGCATTCATGGCAGGCATTTGGGAGATCAGAGTCTCATGGACTTTCCTGCCTGGGCTAGCTTTGAACCCTGATCCTCAGATCTCAGCCTCCTGAGTGGCTGGGATGGCAGGCGGGGGCCACCGGCTCCTAGATATTGTCCTGTCCTTTTAAGTGTGTGCGTGTGTGTTGGTCCTGGGACTCGAACTCAGGGCCTTGGTGTTGTCCCTTAGCTTTCGCACGCATGGCAGGCGCTCTTCTGCTTCTGGCTCTTTGCTGGTTCCTGGGAGATCAGGGCCTCACGGCCTTTCCCGCCCAGGCTGGCCTCGAACCCTGATCCTCAGGTCTGGGCCTCCTGGGTGGCTGGGACGCAGGCGGGGCCGCGGGTGCTGTCTGAGATGGCGGCCCTCGCCCTGCCCGCCGGGCCAGGTGGTGCTGAGACAGTGACTTGTCTCCGCAGGACGCGGCCCGTGACCCCCGGCCGCGGCGGCCTCCTTGCCGACTGCAACTCCAGATGCCAGTGCTCGGAGGCCCACTGGGAGCCCGTGTGCGGGGCCGACGGAGTCACCTACGCGTCCGCCTGCCTCGCCGGCTGCCAGGCCTCCCGCGTGGCTGGGAGAAGCCTCGTAAGCGAGGCCCGGG